GATCTTGGTGACCACAACCTCCACAACTGCCAGGACCAATTGGCACCAGTTCGCATAATACCTGAAGGCAGGTCCAGGCTCTAGCTTTATCGAGGCAACACCGATTCATCTGAGTCTCGCACTCGGTGCGTGGATGCAGGCTACCCTTCTTCAGGACGCCAACCTTCTCCAACGATGTCCAGTCCTGCAACTCAGTTCAAAGCGGCTTAAGGCAACTGCTAGGGTTTCAGCATCGGACCTCTGAGACATCAGCCACAACATTGGCAGCGACGTCCAAGTACAGCATCTTCTGAAACGTCGGGTCCCTCCAGTTCAGCGCAATCGGGCCTGCCTCATGTCACCTTTCGAAAGCACAGCTGCGTGCATACTCCTCCCTCTCAAGCAAACGTCTTCTTGGAGTCTTCTTCAGCTCTCCACACCCAACACCGCAAATTCGAGGAAAGAGCGGGGCTTGACAACTGCGCCACCCTGCTGGGATCTGACGCGCCAAGCCAGGTTGGGAGCCACTAGAACAACAAGAACAAGTTCATAAAACTCAAAGCAGAATGGTAACCCCACACGCAAAGCTGCGCCAAACAGTGGAAAGCAAAGCGAGCCCCAGCAGGCGCAAACTATCGCGCCTGCCACGCGAGCCGCCCGCCCGACGCCGAACGCTCCGCGCCAACCAGTCTAAACAAAGCGCCTGCCCACACCAAAGCACTGCGCCTGCCACGTGAGCTCGCCTGGCACGTTTTGGCAAAATGGCCCAGCCCCCGCAAGATGTCAGCCCCAGCAAGATGTCAGCCCCGCTGGGCCACGCCGCTTTTCACAGATGGACGGGTCGGACGACAAATTTCAACACGCGCTTCCACGCGCAAGGTCTTTGCAGGCCCGCTCGCCAAAGTCTAGAGCACTGCGCCTGCCACCTACTCAGCAAAAAAGTGCTGGGCAGAGCAGAGTCGGCAGAAGGCTAAGGCCCATAGCCTCAAGCAGCCGCATGGCAAACCCAGACTTGAAGCAGAGTTGTACGTGGCCTTATGAAGGGACCCTCACATGAACAAATCATATATTGAATAGCATGTGTAACCCGCACCCTTGTCACTCATCTTGGTGGACAGGTGACCCCAAAAGTAAGCAAAGAAACAATCGCTTAGTTGGGCCCAGTACATAACATCGAAACTGCTTGACACCCCACGCAGGCAAACTGCTCGTGAACCACGCCTTACCAAAGCGGAAAAAGCGGGAGAAAACGGCGGAAAACGGCCTAGCTTCGCGAAACCACCACGGCAACAACCATACCACATACACGACCAAAACCACAACAGCCTAGTTCAGCACCCGACGTCGGCCTGAGCCGGAGGCTTCAAAGATGCCAAGCCACTTCTCCTCACCAGCTTCCGCAAGGTCCTCAAAATGCTTTATGAACCTCGGAATTGCAATGCATCCGCTGTACGCGTGCACATCGTGCACATTTCACCCAGATGCAAAGAAAGCGATGGAAGCCCGTCCCGCCTGAAGAACTTGAAGAAGCGACGGGCAGTGGAGAGACTCTTCGACAAAGTCTCGAAGTGCTTGCCTCGAACTGAAATCCGATGTGAAGTCTGAAGGAATCCGAGGTTCCGATCCGGCAAAATCCGATCCGAAGGAACTGACATCTGCCCAAGGTCTGGACCCCAGTCCTTCCATGAAGAGCCTTAGAGTGGAGCCAACCCTTTTAGAGGCTTGGGCGGGCTCGAGGGCAAGCAAACTCTGAGCACAATCCCCGTGAAAACATCCTCAGGAGCCCACGTAGCAATATGTACCCAACAAGTCTGGATGCGTACCTTGGGCTGCCAGCTTTGCCAAAGTGGTTCCACTCGGCAAGGTCCATGCTGCAAGATCTTCAAGCACTTCTCGCGTGTCTGCGCGCTGGAAAGGATCTTGTTGGCTGCCTGACTGAACTGACTGAACTGACTGAACTGACTGAACTGACTGAACTGACTGAAGTGACTCAACCAATACAGGAAAAGGTTGGCAGAGCAACAGCCTTGAGGTCGAGGTCCTTGTCAGACAAGGGCAGCCTCCTGAGCACCCGCCTCATGCCTCATGCCTCGCCATGCCTCGCCCTATTGGAATTTCTCACTGGCTTTGGCAAGGCGCGCCTCTTGCTCGCCGCGGACGCCATGGCCCACTACACCCGGAAATGGCAACAGCCACACAACAGAAACGTCTCACAATGTCTCACAATGTCTCGCAGCGTCTCACATGCCGCAACGAATCGCACAAGCTTTTTCTGGCACATCTCACACCTGAGAGCCAAAGGGAGACCTCAACCTGCCGCAGCATGCTCCCAAAGCTGCGGGCAGTGTAAATTAGCTCGAACTCCCGGGTGATGGCCTGTTCGCCGAAAAGACCAAACCGAAAACAGAAAAGGAGAGAGACTGAGGGGGACGAGACATGACGAGACATGACGAGACATGACGAGACATGACGAGACATGACGAGACTCGTGCCTCAGTGCAGTCCACCAGGGTCCCCCTCAACTCGCTTCGATTCGAGACGTCGAGTCACTTTCTAGGCCCTCGGGCGTTGGGAGCGTCAAGTCCTCGAGAGCCAAGGCACATCCGCGAGAAAGCCCGGCAAAACCCCCGACGGCCCGCGCCTTGCGAGCCAGCTCTTTGGCCCGCTCCAATCGTTGACTCTGCACCAGGCTCAAGTCCTCTCCCCGACTCGCGACTCGCGACTCGCTCGGCGACTCGCCCGGCGACTCGCTCGGCGACTCGTCTAGTGTCCTTCTTGGCGAAGTGGTTCGCGCAAACCAGGCAGGTGCACCTCGCTCTCGCGCAATCTCGAGGCCTCCGCCGTGGCCGCCTTGCCGCCCTTTCTCACACCAAGCTGCCACACAGCGAAGCACGGGAGGCTCACCAGGAAGTACACTGAGGCCAGGTACATCTGACATTGGCCAGACTCTCCGGAAATGTCGGCACCAAAACCAGTACAAGCAGACCAGCTTTCTGAGTGAATGCCTCAATCAAAAGCCCATTGACGTGCAGAGACAGACACAATGCCGCTTCAGGCGCTTGATGAAGGGAATCTGGGCGTTTTGACACACTCTTGGCCCGAAGATGGCAATGCACTGCGCTCTATGTCTGCGATCTTGGCTCGCGAAAGCCCCCAACTGGCCCCAAACTGGCCGATCCGTTTGACGCGCAACGCAGCTTGAGCAAGACCGTTGGCCTTCAAAGGCCACCAGCCAAAGTCTTTTCGAGTTTTGGGAAACTCCTGAGTAAACTCCTCATTTCCCATGGTTTTCTCATTTCAGAGTAAGCAGATGAGGGTGGCGCTTGCTCCTTTTTTTCAGGTAGGATTTGGACTTGGATGGGGTTTTGAGGCTGGTTTTTCGGCTAGTTTTGCAGGGGTTAGGCTGGGTTCAGGTGCTGGTTTGGACTTGCATGTCCAACTAATGGCTGAAGGTCTGGGCTGGTTAAAGGATGAGCTTTGCGCGGGTCTTGGGCGGTTCCAGTTTTCAGTGGAATGCGGCTGGCTGGTTGGCGTGGGATTGGTTTCTTTACCCTGTCAAGCTGGCCAAAAGCTGAACCCAAGCGTCAGCTGCGAGCATCGAGCAGTCTGCTGCGAAATCCAAGAAAAAGGCTGGCGTGTAACCACCTTTCAATGGATCGCGCGCTAGCCGGCGATCAATATTTGGCGCGGAGACCGATTCTGCGCTAAGCCAACGTAAGGTCCGGGTGCGCATTCGGTGTGACGATTGCGCCGAACCTCGCGGCCTTTTATCGAATTAAGCCGCAAAATCACACCTCGTCAGACCATTTGCAACCCAAAAGGCTTGCAACTGTCAAGGCGTTCCTTGCACAGACTTCACTTCTCCGACTTCTCCGACCCATTCATCTGGCAGTGCCCGTCACAATTGAACCTGAACCAACTTGCCGACTGTACATTTCGAGCATCCGTGCATTGAAGCTCCATAACGCGCGTCATTGTTGCCTTGGGCAACGGAGACCTACTTCGGTGCATTCTTACTGATCCCCGACAGCCCACGCGAATGCCTAAACAGGAAGAAGGCAAAAGCGGCAAACTCCTTGATACTGGGCAAACGGCATTGAGCCAGGATTTGTTCAACAAACGCCTACGCGAAGAGCCTACGCAAGGGGTGACGCAACAGCCTACAGTCAGAAGCCTATGCGAACCTACGCCCCCAACCAGGACTGCCTCTGCAAAGTACATGCAGTTCCATTTGCGCATGAACCCTGTCAATTGGTGAAAATCCGTTGCACACATGAAACTATTGCACCCCCGCCTCGGAAGCTGCAACTTGCCAGCAAGAAACAAGCAAGTACCACGTGTGTTTTCCTTGTGGGCATTTGCTTTCAGACGTTCACTTTCTCCCGCAAATTGTGTTGCGCGGGAAACTCCATCTTGACCTAACTGCCCACCTCAAGGCAAGTGGACGATATCGCAGCCGCGCCTCTGGCAGTTGAGCGAACCGAAGATGATAGAGGACATACATCGAGACCTGCATCTGTCAGAGACTGTCCTTTTCGGGCTAAAGTTTTGGCAGACCAGCTGCAACACCGTCAGCAGGCCATAGATCAGGTTCACGTAAGACTGCGCTTGCCTCAAGCGCCTCAGATCGAAGGGAGGCTTTCCCGAAGCTCAAAAGGCTCAAAAGGCTCAAAAGGCTCAAAAGGCCTGGTCTCAAAGGCAGTGAACAGAGAGCACAGCACGATGGGGATGCTTGCGCAGGCACCCAGCCTGGAGAAGGCCAACTTTTTTGAAGCCGAAACGCGTAGGCTCGTAGGCTTGCAGCCCAACCATGGCGATGGGGTTGATAGCGATCAGCTCCTTCGATCTTTAGAAGTCTTTGAACGGCGTGCCATCGGCTATCAAATGTCTCCTTGAGCAAGACGGGCACGGGATCTTCTATGACGACGGGGACATCCCCGGCCTGACACTTTCGAATTCCAGAGCTGCTTCGAGTCAAATCGCGGCAATTCGAGCCAATTCAACATAATTCGAGATTTAACTTGAGCATGTAGTTCGAGTCAATTCGCGATTGTTCGTGATGATTCGACAGTACCAACAAGTTGCAGCGAAACATCTCAATTGCTCAAGCCGAGATTCTCCAAGGGTCAGCACTTTTGGCTCTAGCGTCTGGCCTGCTCCCATGAAAGGCGACGTATGTCAAGCAATTCGGGAACATCCTGGTGAAGGCAATTCGTGACTCGATAATCTCGTGACAATTGAAGTAATTCGAGAACATTTGGGTAGTGCGAGACAACTCGGCTAATTCGACATATTTCTAGTACTTCGGATTCTGGTAACCAGAGAAGCTTCAAGTAGTTCCAAATAAAATCCGGGAATTCGACCTGTTTGAGGGAAGTTTGAGAAAATTTGGGCAATCAAGTAATTCGATATTATTCGGGCAATCTCAGAAAACTCAGGTAATTCAAGAAAGTTCGTGTATGTCGAGATTAATTGCCATTTCAACTAGTTCGATTAATTTTGAGGAATTGAATCAGTTCGAGATAAATCGGGTAACTCAAGATTCGTGGGGCAATGTCAGACAATCTCATCAAATTGAGGTATGTTGAGATAAACCAGGCAGCTCAAGATAGGTAATTCGACATATTCAAGTAATTTGGAAAAAATCCGAGTCTTTCAGGTATTTCGAAATAGTCTGGAAAAACATAATATTTATGGTATTTCGACATATACCAGCTTGGGGAACCAAGGAAGCTAGATAAATCCCGAAATTTGGGTAACTTGACATGTTTCAAGTAGTTCGAAAAAGCCCGGGAAACTTTTATGGGGGTAACTCGGGATATTCTGACTAGTTCGAGGTTCGATTAAGCTTTTGGCGTCGCGAATCGATGTTCAGCCTCAATGCGCCGAGACCTCCGCTGGTCGAGCACAACTCGCTCGTCGGCAGCCTGCGCGTGCCGTGCATCCCGCTGAGTTTTCCTGTTCAGCCCGGGTTCATTCGGCATTGATTCATGCCTGCATGGTGAAGAGGTACCAAGCAAGGATGGCAGGCATGAAGCTGTGGCAAATCCTGAGAGCTGTCTCTGGAGGGCCTCAACTCATGACTGAGACTCGACATGAAGTAGTAGAAGGGGTGGATGATCTGGAACCTGGGCTGTTGCTTGGCACGTCTGCAGAAAACGCACATTGGCATGCTGAGGCTCATGAAGAGCAATTGGACGCAATCAAGAATCCTCAGTGGATCACATGGAGGGGGTAAGGGACGCATCTTTGCTTCTGGCCAGAGAAGCAGCCAAACTGGCAGGATCAGGAGACATGGCCTTGGGCAATGAGTTGCCAAGAGCAACCAACAAGTGTGCAATTTCATGCCGTAGGCCCGGTAAGCCCGCAGGCGCTCACTGCGTACAATTGCATCTTGGGCCGCACACTTCAAGAGAAATTGCCGGAAGAGCCTCGTAACAAAGACGAGCACGACTACTCGTCGCGTCGCGTCGCGTGCACGTGTCAGTCTGAGCCGGCCACTGCTGCCGCGGCCTCAGAGCTTCGCAGCGCTTCGCGCTGAGGTGCTTGGAGGCGCTGAGGCGTTGGCCGTTCCTCGTGGGGCTGCATGAGCAGCACGGGCAGCAGCGTGACCCTGCGACGACTCATTTTCTGCTTGCGTGAACGGGGCTCATTTGACTCAAAGCAACCACCCGCTCCGCCCTGCGACCCGCGCCAGCCGAACATGAGGCCACAGATCTGGCGAGAGCCAAGGAATGCCCAAGTGCCACCAGTGACAGGCTCGGGGCTCAGGGCGCAGCTGTCCAGCGAGTGAGGATTTGAGGCTCCTCATCCTCGCAAGCGGAGGGACTCGTGAGAGACGCGAGGCTCCAAATCTCCTCCATGGCGACACAGGCCTTACACGTGCGCTGAATGAGCATTTATATATATAAGACATTGTTAAAGTCAGACTGCGCTGTGTAACCCTGTTGTAGTGTGAAGGAGTTAACCTGTGATGCGAACGACTCGGCACAGCTGTAACCTGTTGTATCTCGGGCATGGGCTAGGCTCAGGGCCTTGTTCCAGACATGTAGCGGTTGCCACATGTTCTGCAAGCTGTACATAGATGGAGTATCTTAACACCCCCTCTCAAATTGTGCTGGGGTCAGTACACTTTGCAAAATGTACAAGTGACCTTTTGGATTGGGATGACGTGAGAATAGCTGCGTGTAAAACTGAATTTCAGTACGCAGACCTCCTCTTGAAACGCAGTGTGCCTTCCTAGGCATGTACTTTGATGGACTCATCAAGCGCCTTCGCCTGTAATCTTCTTCTTGTTCAGCAACCTATATCCTTCCTGTTGCGCAAGGATAACTGCGCTGTCCACTTCTTGCAGTTGTTGGTCGCTGAAAGAAACCAACTTGTCCAGGGATCAACGCCATGTTGTTGCCACACAATTGCATGCCACGCTGCACGATGCACTCAACGACTCGTGTCTTCAATGGCTCACTGATAGCCTGTCGCAGGGTAGGTGTGATAGCTCAAGGCTATCGAAAATCCAGCATGTACTCGATGAAGTGGGGGATTGTGTGTCCAAACCATCTGTGCTGGAATGATGATGCGCTGTAGGATCACGTAGCTCTTGGTCAGGTTGTAGTTCATGCGGAGGTTTGTGATGTCTTGACCTTGTACACAAAGAATGTGCTCGTTGGCTGTGCTGTCCAAGCCCTCATGCGTCAAACAACTGATGTAGCCGAGGCAATCCATGAGACTTTGCAGCATCCCAATGAAACCCTTGTCATGAACATGTACTGCTCCACTGTAAGCAGGATCATAACCGTTGTGTGGTTGTAAGGGTCATCCGGTGCAACCGGTTACCATCAACCGGTTCCAGTGTAAACCCCTTGGTCGGGAATCTGCATGCGCAAGGGTCTTGTAGGCCCTCTGAGCCATCAATGTAGGCTGAATGCCCGCAAATTTAAATGGCTGCAGCATGTACCAAAACATTGTCAGAAACATGTACAGACTGTCATGCAAAAGTGCACCTCAAAAGGTGTAAAAGAGGTAGTCGATGTGGTTGTAGAAAGGAGGCTAGAATCAAAGTTATGTGTCTGACCCAACAGTTTGTGTTCGCTCCAGGGTAGATCCATGGCTGTACCTAACCTAAAGTGAAACATGTGCGCCGGCCGTTTAGTTGTGAAACATCGAGTGTGTGAACTGCGCAACTGTTGTTTAACACACTGCGCACTCTGTGTGAAACTAGTTGTGGTATAACCTCACAGGCCAACGTTGTACATGTGTTTGTTGAGGATGTCACAGCTGACAAACTTTGTCAGTAAGTCTGCTAAGTTGTCCTCTGATCTTACTTTGCGCATTGTGATGGTTTTGCTCTTGACAAGTTGTTGTATGAAGAGGTGTCGCAGCTCGATGCGCTTCGCTTTCTTTGATTCTCTCATTGCCTGTGTGTATCCTGATGCCGGCGCGTACTTCGAATGCTTCCTTGATGAAGTTGCTGATGTAGAGGCTCTCCTGCGCTGCTGTACCAATGGCGTACGGTTCTGATTCTGCTGATGAAAGTGCTATTGTTGCTTGTGTTCTGCTGTCATAGTGCACTGCTGTTCCAAAGAGGTATAGCACAAATCCTGTTGCGCTCTTCCTTGTTTTCTCGCATGATGCACAGTTGGCATGTGTGCGTGTGTCAATGTTGAGTGGAATTCGTTTGTCCCGTGTTTGTATCTTTGGTCGCAGGTTGTGTCTCATGTACCTTTTTCCTTCAAGGTACTTGATCATGCGCTTGAGCTTCTTGTTGTCAAAATGCTTCGGTGCTTGTAATGACCTTGAAAATTCTGTTGCTCCAGCTGATGTCTGGTCGTGTGTATGCTAGCCATTGTGTCTTGCCAACAAGCTGCCTGTATTGCTTGTGAGTGAGTGAGAGAGAGAGAGAGAGAAAGAGAGACAGAGACAGAGACAGAGCTGTCAAACTACATGCTTCACTTCCTGCATTCAGCCTAGGAACAAGAAGCGTTGGCTACCTTACCAAACTACTGGAACCTGCATTCAACGAAGCGCAGTTTGAAGAACAATTCCTACAATGGGAATACAACATCAACCGCTACGAGAAAGACAACGGCACAGCACTACCACATAAAATCGAAATAGCAATACTACTCAACAAAACCAAAGGAGCACTGCAGCAACATCTCCAACTGCGAGCTGGACAGACCACGAACTACATCGAGATCAGAGCAGTCATCCTGGACTACTACAAGACGATTTCAGCCTTCTCGAGATCGACTTCAGCAGTAGGAACAAACTACAATGGAGGAGCTGCACCAATGGATGCTGACAACATATGGAGGAAAGGAAGAAACTACAAAGGCAAAGGAAAAGGCAAAGGCAACTACAAAGGAAGCAAAAACAAAGGCAAGTACAGGAGTAAAGGACAGTACAAAGGATTCGACAAAGGCAACAAAGGAAACTACAGCAAAGGAGGATACAACAAGAGCAAAGGAAAAGGCTACTCAGGATCCAAAGGATATGGATCAAGCAAAGGCTACAAAGGCCAAGGAAACTACAGCAAATCAAAAGGAAAAGGAAACAACAACTACACAACATGCCATCGATGTGGCAAGCCTGGCCACTGGGCACAAGACTGCAGAGTGCCAGTATGGCACATAGGAGAAGGAGAAGAACTACATCCACTAGAACAAGAACAAGCAGATCATCACAACAATGAAGAACTACCTCAGGATGTGAACGACACCTGGGACTGGTACTACGAAGGAGAAGAAAGACGACACGAAGTAAACTACATAAAGGAGAACTGGAACGACTACGACTATGACAACAGCTATGATGACACAGCAAACTACATTGGGGGCATCAACGAGTCACACCTCACCATTGGACACATCAGACAAGCAAAGTCACGACTACACAAGCACAGATCCAAATCACTACTTGGCAAGAAAACAACACACACAACATCATGGAACAACCACAGCAAGAGCTTTCAACAATTCCTACAAGAAGACACCACACAGCTACACTTCGACATAGTAGCAGCAACGCAACAGCAAAGGAACAAGTAGATTGAGGACACTATCAAACACCACATCATGTGCTCCAACTTCAAGTCATACCACCACCTGTTGATCGACTCAGGAGCATCTACGCATGTTTGTCCAAAGGACTACGCGCCAGACCTACTGCTACGACCTTGTGGAGAATCAGATCCACAACTCTACACGGTTGCCAACAAGAAGATTCCTATCTACGGCATCAAGTATGTTCCCTACAAGCAGGACAACTTCAGGATCATGATACCCTACTACGTTTGTGATGCGAAGTATCCAATCCCCAGTGCATCAAGACTACTTGATAGAGGATATGGACTCGACTTCACTCCACGACACTGCACCATCACACGTGGACAACAACAAGCGCGCCTCATAAGACACTCAGGACTTTTCTACCTACGAGCAGAGAAGATCGACATCCCTACAGGATTCGACATCTACCCAATGACCACAGACAGTGGAAAATCCATTGCTGTGATTCAACCAACAGAGGAAGCAAAACAACAGCAAGAACACATTGACCAAGGACTGCGACAGATCCTTGGTGGAAACACTGACTACTGGAAACTTGATGGTGACTACGCCATCAGAGTCCACAAACGACCACGCAAAGCATTGTTTACACCACACAACAGTGGTTGCCCAACACCAGAAGGAGAACTAGATGATTGGCGACTAACCATCATCAACAGACAAGGGCAAGAGCAAGAACAACTACAAGAGAACCCAACACAACTTTCCAAGCAAGAACTACAACGAAGACTAGAAGGTGACAACTGGACTGGAGAAACCAGATTCAGAAGAAAGATAGTACCTACACGCAGAGCAACGTCAAAGACCACACCAACAAGGCAGAGCTCACAACCACAACGGCTAATGGACACACCACCAACCAGATCAAAGATCCAACTACGAGCACCGCAAAAGATATGAAGCAGGACCTTACACAAATCTTGACACCACACAACCAAAGGAGACAATCCACAGACCACTAGCACAGGAGGACAACCAAGACTACTGCGAAAGACACGGTGAACACTGGATAAGACATCACACAACACTTAGAACAACTCTCTTCACTCCAACAGATGGACCAGGACATCCACCAATCAGCACACTTGAACCTCACAGAACTAATAAATCACTCACAACAACCTTGGAGAAGTTTCACAACGCAAAGAGGACTGGACAGTCATGGGCAACGCAGCACTACCATTTCAATGGCAAGAAACAACAAGGTGAAAGACTACGAGTACATCCAGGAGAACCACGATGAGGAACAACAACACGAGCATCATGAAGCACACAGAGCAAGAGGACTACGACAACCACAGCAGCCCACTCCACAACAAATAGCAGAACACAATCTTACACATCTACCACACAGAAACTGGTGTCCAATTTGCGTTCAAGGCAAAGGACGCCAAGACAACTACAAGAAACAACAATCACGACAACCCGTCATTCAAGTAGACTTCGCCTACATCAAATCACAACAAGACCCAAAGACCATACCAGTACTGACAGCAGTTGATGTTACTACACAACTGTGTAGGGCAGTAATGGCCCCGGACAAACCATCAATGATGGACTACATGGTCAACAACCTACAAGCATTCGTCTTTGAGTGCGGAAGAACACAAGGCATACTACAAAGCGACAACGAAGACACACTCAACGCGCTTCTACAAGCTACAGCAGCAGAAGTCGGCTCAATGACTGTTAGGCATGCACCCTCCTACAGCAGTAACAGTCAAGGAAGTGTTGAGCGACTACACCGAACACTCCTCGGACAGGCACGCGTCGTCAAAGCGCAGGTTGAAAGCAACTACAGCATG